TTCCTTGTCTACTGTTGTTTTACATAAAACTGCACACAGTCAAGAAACTATCAAAACTTACACGAAAGCAAAACAAATGTGTGGTCCTTGGTCGAGAAAAGAAACCATTGATAGATGTAAACCCAGAAATAGACCTAAAATTAGGACAATATGACAAAAATGCCATAGGACTTAAAGGAAAAGGTAGAAACCATGTGCAGAGATGGGAAGTTGAATAAGTCAAGTARAGTATTCTAAAAACCAAAGGGAAATGCTATAAATAAAATAACAGTATTAGAAGTAAATAACTGGATGAGCTTATTATCAGTAATTGGGGGGAGGAGGAGAAAAAACTTGCAAATAGGTAAATTAATAAATTGAAATATAAGGAAAAAGCTACATAAAACAGTATTTGAGACCTATAGAACAATACCACACGGTATTGTGGTATTGTAACACTGGAGTGAAAAAAGAAGAGGATTGAGAGGATGAGCAGAAAAAAATATTCATAGATTTAAAAAATGAGAATTTTCTAAAACTAATGAAAGATATCAACTTATACAGAATTGCAGCTGGCACCATGTGGAATAAATGCAAAGAATACCATACCTATGCACATCATAGTCAAGATTCTGAAAGCCAAATTTAAAGGGCAGGTCTTAAAAACAGCCAGAGAAAGCATGTACCACACACAGGGGTGCCAAAATATGACCCACAAATGAATTTTTTATCAAAATAGCAAAGTCAAAACAGGAATGACATGCTAAAATGCTGAAAGAAAAAAAATCTGTCAATCTAAACTTTTATATACAGTAAAAAAATTTATTCAAAAATGAACATAAAATAAAGATATCCTTAGACAAACAAAAGCTGAGAGACTTCATCTCCAACAAATGGCACTATAAGAAATGCTGAAAGAAGTTCTGAGGCCAAAGGGAAGTGAGACCAGATGGAAAACCAGATCAGTAAGAAATGGTAGAAAAGTACAAGAAAGGAAATATCTGGACAAATTTTTAAAAAGACATATATTCTAAAACATCATATCTACCTATCTATCTACCTATATATATATTTGCCCACATATATATTTAGACATTTCTTAAAAAAAAAAACCCCAGTGTATAGTGGATTAAATAATATGTAGGAATACAATACAAGAAAACAATATCATAAAGAATGGGAAAGGAATAAATGGAATTATGAGGTTGTAAATGTCTTATATGTCCACAAAATAGAATAATATTGTTTGGAGGTATATGGTGATAAAGATGTAAATTGTAATTTCTAGAGCAACCATTATATTTAACATTAAGAATAAAAAGCTAGAAAGATAATCCAGAAATTTAAATGGAATATTAAAAAAAAAAATCTCAAAGAAGTCAGGAAACAGGATATAGAGAAACAATTGACAAATGGAATAGTTGAGTGAAAAGAATTTCCCTTTATTATAATAATTATTATTATTATTTTCTTGCAGTACTGGGGATTGAACCCAGGGGCACTCTACTGCTGAGTTACATCCCCAGTCCTTTTTACTTTTTATTTTAAAACATGGTTTTGTGCTAAATTGCCCAGGCTAATCTTGAACTTGAGATCCTTCTGTCTTAGCGTGCCAAATTGCTGGGATTACAGACCTGTGCCACCACTCTAGGGCTCAAGCACTATTATTGAACACTGAATAGTTTTTGGAAATTAGCTTCTGCAAATGACCTGGTAATATTTCTTTGTGAATTTAAACCAAAAATACAAGACAAAATAGAGTTTGTAAGCAAAACTTATTCTGTTGTAAAAGCCTTTGGACAGAACATGCTGTCAACAGTTAAAACAAGAAGCAAGATCTCCATTCCAACACAAATTTACAGCAGTTATATTTTTCTGAACTCAAACTACAGTTACAAAAATGTCTTTTGGATTTCAATACAAGTGCAAAGAACTTTCCATATTTAAAATGCACTTAAATATGTGCAACTGGAGGAGCTTCTACCTAACCCTTCAACTGGAAGTGACTAATCTGCGTTGTAATGGCATGCTAARGGGAAAACATCAAGAGAATTTGAAGAATTCTAATAGAATTTTGGAAATACCTTCTAAGCACTGAACATGCTCAACTAAAATTATAGACTTATGGATTCATATCATATGTAGCAGTACTTATCTGGGTGGAAAGATATGAAATATGCACAATCTCATAAAAAGCATTAATGAGATGAAAATTTGCAATGGATTTTGATGAAAGAGAACACTTACTTTGAACCCTATGTAAGTGAATTGTTCCCCCAAAACAGAATCCCATTACTCTCATTAGACCTGTATTAATATTGCTATTTTTATTACACTTTGTATTTTAGCAACAAAAAATAATGGCCATTGCCCCCCTCCCTTGTTATATAAGTATCTACATAATGCCCTCTATTTTTCTTCTTAGTTCACAAAACCTAAAATATTTACTATTGGGCCCTTTACAGAGACTGTCAATTCCTAGTCTAAGTGCAGTTTTTGCTACTACTGTGTATTTTTCTTTGGAACGATACACATTCTATCTCAAACCGCTACTTCTATGGAGAAGTACAGAGGAATTAAGGAAAGGAAGTTGAAAGTTAATTCAGTCCTGAGGTTAAATAATAATTGCAGTTAACATTAATTGAACACACATAATACATGGCAGTCTGCTGAAGAAACATTTTGTACCTGTGGTCCCCCTTATCCATGGTTTCAGTTATCTGTGGTCAACCACAGACTGAAAATATTAAATAGAAAGTTTTAGAAATAAACAATTCATAAGTTTTAAATAACTGTTATTACTATATGTTGTGATTGTCCTGTTTTATTGTCAATTCTTGCTAATGTCTTTCTGTGCCTAACTAACAAAGTTAAGCTTTATCACAGGAAAGTATGTATGAGAAAATAATATACACTGGGTTCAGTACTATCTGTGGTTTCAGGCATCCACCGGGAGTCTTGGAATGTATTCTCTGTGGATAAGGAATGGAGAGCTAGTCTCTATATTTTCTCATTTAATGTGAGAATCTTATTAGTTATGTGTTATCTCCCCCCTTTTCATTTTATGGAAGCTTAGAAATTGAGCTGTCAGAGATCATATTGATAAATAAGTGATGTAAAGGTTCATAAGGGACTATAAGATTTAACTCAGTAATGGGCAATCGGAACCAATGTCTGCAAATATCATCGAAGAGAAACAAAGATAAATAATCGGGGGAAGTGTGTGTGTGTGTGTGTGTGTGTGTGTGTGTACACAAGTGTGCGTGGAGGGTCAAAGACAGCAATTTTTGTGGATAAGACTGAGATCTCTTTGGGAAGGTAGGTCTACTAGGTGACACAAAAAACTGTTAAAGTTCCTGGAGGCTCAGAGAAACCCATTTCCACCTTCCAGGCAACAGAACACTTTGCCACCCAACCCTTTAAATTTTTTTTTTTTTTGTATCAGTGTTCCAATGAATGTGTGAACCAAAGTATTGTTTGTAAAAGTCTGAACACATTTTATAATGCAGAGACATGAAGGAAAGTAGATAAGGAAAATCCACCGCGTGGGGAGGATCTGGGATATCTATCCTGGTCGGGTGTTGAAAATATGAGAGTGTCTGTCTAAGTAAACACSGGCAAACACTTATGCATGTGTATCCATATAATATTTACTATCAAAAGATGAAATCACAACAAATTCAGCCTTCCGTTCACACATCAAACCTGTATATCATGTGTGAGCAGGGTTCAGAATTTAAACACAGTTACAAGGTACTCAGTCGCCTGCGGTGGACACTCGAGAGCGTTTGAAGAGACTATCAATGACCACTTGAGCTCGGGGCTGGAACGCTCGCCCCACCGCCCCAGTTCCTCTCCACGGCTTTCCCAGCCGCCTTCCTCCCGCCGGATCCCCGGGCCGTGCCGTCGGCCCAGGACGGTTTCCGAGAGGGTTCTGGGGAGGTGTATTATCTGTGGGAACACGTCCCGTCAACTTTGTAGTCGAGTCACCTATTTCGGTTGGTAGCGGCCGCTATTTCTTTAAAAGGGCAGTGGATTTCGAAACGCCGAGGGAGGGGGTCAGGAAAAGGAACTGGGCTGCCTTCGACAGCGGCCCCGCAGCCTTCCTTCCCCGGAGCGTGCTCGGCTGGGGAAGCGCCGGCGGCGGCCGCGTCCCGGGCGGGCGCGGGCGCCTCCTCTTTGAGGGGCGCCCACCTTCCCGGGGAATCCCCCCACCCAGCCGTGCCCTGCGCCCGCGGCGCGGTCGCCCGGCTTTGTCTCCGGCGTCGCGCTCGGGCGCCCGCTCCCCACACTTCCCCGTGTGCAGTCTGTAACCCGATCTCCCATTTCCTGGTGGATTCTCTTAAAGCGGCAGCGGTCGAGAAGCAGAACAAAGGCTATTGTTTTATTTCCTCCTTCGGATTCCGCGTCCTTCCCGGAATGCCCCTTCCCCTATCGTATTCTCTGGGCCACGGCGCGCAGGGAAACGATTTCAAAGCCCTGGTGCATTTCCATGTATCTAAGAAACGGAGGTAGGGGGAGGCCGGAGGAGTTGAATAAAACCTGTTTTGCGGTTTCTGGGGCCACAAGGTAACGTTTTGTAAACGTGTCCTCCAGGAGCCGGCAGTTGCCTGCTGGGCTCGTCCGCCTGGGGGTCGCCCGCGCTGAGGGCGGGAGCGGGGCGCCGGGGGTGCCCTGGGGGGCTGCGCGGCGCAGTCGGGCCGCAGCTCCCGGGCGTCCTCCGCCCGCGCCCCCTCTGCCGCCCCTCCCCCGCCCGGCTTTTATTTCCCCGACGCGGGGCTGTAACCCGAGCTTTTATTTCCTGGTGGCTCCTTTAAGAGGCAGAGCTCTGTGCTGGGAATTCACGTCAGTTTCTGCACTGAAACTCTCAAGATCAATGAGCAAAGAGCTTTCTCAGTTCTGCCTTTCAGTTTCTCTCTTCCAGGAAGGAAAACATTCGAGAGAGCGAGGGAGAGCGGCGGGAGGGCGGGGGCGGGCGCGCCGGCCGCGGGTGGGAGGAGAGACGGGAGGCCGGCGGGCAGCCCGGGTCGCCGCGCCGCGACCCGCAGACCCCGCCGCCGCTCGGCCCGGCTCCCACGCCCCCGCGCCCCGCGCGCGCAACTCTGCCGGCCGCCCCGCCCCGCCCGCCGCGCGCTCGCAGACCCCCGGGGCGGCTGCCCGAGAGATGCTGGAAGAAACTTCTTAAATGACCGCGTCCGGCTGCCCGCGGAGCATTTCTGGGTTGGGGAGAGGAAAGGAAAGTGGAAAAAAACTGAGAACTTCCTGATCCCTCTCGCTGTGAGACATGTCTGAGACTCCTGCTCAGTGTAGCATTAAGGTAAAGATCGGCTCCCCTCCCTCTCGGTGGTCGGAAAACCTTGAGCTGCACCGGCCGGGGCAGTCGTGCCGGGCTCCTCGGAGCGGGCTGTTGCAGTTGGTCTGCTCGCAGTAAATTATTTGGGGCGCGAGGCCAGGAGATGCAGCTCGCGGCAGCGTCTGTACCCTTTAGCGTAACCTTGCTGCTCCCAGCCGCCGAGCCCCCTCGTCCGCTCCTGGGCCCCCACCCCACCCCCTTTCTTTTTGACAATGAAATGCCCGTCACAATTGGTTAGGAGGAACCCGGGTTCTCCCGAGCTGTTAAACACCTCCGTGATGAGTGCGCTTAAAAAACAACAGCAACAACAACAAAAAAATCCTGCTCCTTATTCCCACACCTAACATGTGACTAAAATGTAACTTTTGTTCTCGAGGGGTGGTCTCCTTAGGAGAAAAAGTTCTCCAGCCCCTATCGGAAATGGAATCGTTTCTTTCTTTTTTTTTTTTTTTTTAAAGGACTCCTTGGATTTGATCACACAGGATCCACCCCCCCTCTCCCCATTGTAATTGCAAGCACCGTCTTGGTGCTTGGAGAGACAGTCTTGGTGTCAGCTTTTCCTGGGCATTGCACAATGAATTTTTTTTTTTTTAAACCAAGGTGAATAAAGTTGCTGAATAGTTATTTTTACTCCAATGCATATGAAAGTTGAGCAATCTCAAAAGTAGAAAACTCCTGTGATGCAGGGAGGAAAAATAAGTGACCAGGCAAAATGACCTTCTCTGTTTGACAGTGCAAAGAGGGTATCTAAGAGCAGCAATCTCCCGGTTCTCTGGCCATGTTTTGCAGTATTGTAAGGACAGAATAGATGCTTGAATACACAGTGCTTGTCTTCTAAGTAGTCGGGATATGTAATCTAAAAAGGCTATGGTACCTCGGTTTGTTGCTTTTAAAAAGTTGTAAAGTTTGCCACCATTGGGAGGCAGGATGATTTGTCCATCTCCTCCGATTATTTTTCCCATCTCTGCATTTCTTACAGTTTATGCATTTCATGGTTCCATCAGTACCCAGGTGGCAAGCTTTCTGCTCCAGTGAGAAGCTGAAACTGCTGAAGTTTGTTTTGGGCTTGGCCTATTTTAATGTGTTCATTGAATGGACACTGCAGAAACAATGGACATATAACCTGTTTTCTTAGTCTAAGGGGAGTTAGAAAAATCTTTCCCGTTTTAACACCGGTTTTCAACTAGGATGTATGTAGGGGAAAGGCGGCATTTTTTTTTTTAATCATACTTGCATTCTAGGTTTTCATAATTATAATCAGATTTTAGTGTTACTTATCAGGAAAGATGGTCATGGGTTTGAAGTAAGGCAATTGAACTCAAAAGGTGGGTCGGGTTTCTTTGTTTTTGTCTCACAGAAATGACCAATGGAACTTTTGGGCTTCTGTGTTTGTACATATCTCAGGGTATGCGTAGAGAGGTGCCACAATAAAGAACTCGGGATACTTTGATACCTAGATTTCTTTTGCAATATAAATTAGAGTCTACATCTAGTTCAGGAAAATCCTGTGGTATAGATAATCTAATTTATTTGACACTTCATAACAAAAACAGAGGTAACTAAATAATAGGGAATTAAATCAGTAAATTGTATTTGGCTGGATAGCAATAAACTTGCCATCAGGAAAATCTGGACCAGCTACTGAACTGTAACTTTAGGATAAAGACAACAAAAAGCAATCCATTCTTGTGACCTCTGGTCCCTCTTTTATAAAGAGATTGTTCTCTGCTGTTCTGATATGCTTTTAGTTCTGTGCTGGAGACAGAAGTGTCCTGAATGGTTATTCATTGTACTGTGGAAAAAGTACAGCGGTTCTTTATACATGCAGAACCAAACCCAAACAAACAAAGCACTTTCTTAAATGTGACATAAAAATTGTGTCCGTAATTTGCATATCATTTCCCCCCTTATTGCTTATACTCTCAGGTTGATCTTTCTTTTTCTTTCTTTCCTGCTGGGGATTGAACCCAGGGTCTTGCTCAGACTAGTTAAGCACTCTATCACTGAGCTACACACCAGTCCCTTAGTTTTTTTTAGCTGCCTCTTTTCATTACTGTGTATTTCTGTGTGATCAAAATAGATTTATTATTCTTCACCAGTCATGAAAGTACCACTTTTATTTTGGATTGTTTGGATTGTTATGGAACCAATCTGTGAATATTTGGTGAAACTGTACGTGTTTGGATGCACATATGTGAAAAGTATCTTTCCATGGAGTTTGTTGAATTCATGATATTCTAACAACAAGCCTTAGAGATCAACGAGCAGGATTATTCCAGGTCATCTGAAAATGTTCTGGCGATATGCACGGCATTTCATTTAGTCTTCGGGATGTGGTACATAATAAGAAATGCTAGTAACCCACAAACAAGTTGCTTCTTCTGGAGTCATTGCTTCTAGAATTCAGCAAACAATAAAGTTTTCTGTGGAGTAGAGAATGAATGTCAGTCTTTCAAGGAATGAGCTGATGAGCCTGATGTATTGAAGACGTGTGACATGGAAGGCTCTCTGTACTTGCCTTCCTCCTTGCCACTCCTGAAATCTTACTTGTTCTCTTGCCCTACAAGCAGCTGGTCAGCTGGTAGTAAATTCCTCAGTAGCTGGGGAGATGGAGCACAGAGGAGCCTGGCCAGAGGTGACCACAGAGGGAAGTACTTGTTTACTTCTGAGCAGAGTCTGTTCTGCTAAAGCAGAGTAGTGTCTGATTTGGGTGGAGTTCCAAGGTGAAATTTCTGAATTGGTCAGTTGGTGACACCTTTAGGTGGGTGGCTGACAATGAATGCCTGATAAGGGCTTTTATCTTTTTTTTGTGGTGCTGGGGATTGAACCCAGGGCCTTGTGCATGTGAGGCAAGCACTCTACCAACTGAGCTATATCCCCTGCCCCCTCCCCTCTCTCTCCAAAAGCTTCTTCCCATTACCTTAGGAAGTTAGTATCAGAAATATACTTTTGTAAAGAGAGGTTGACCAGTCCAGGGTCACCCAGTCTAACTTGAGCCTCTTCATGTTTTGGCACTCTTGTCACAAGAATTTAAACACTTTAGTCCCTGACCATTTGGGGGTTGTTTTAACTATAAGAACAGGATCTATTCTTTTCCATAAAAAGTTGAATGTTTTTTCAGAGGTGTACACTGATCACAGAATCAGGGAAGAACCCATCTTTTCCATCATTAGCCTTCACCTTTAAGTAACCTGTTCAGTTTTTAAAGTTAGCCAAGTTGCAGCGGAAGGTGGTGGTGGCCCAGCTGACACAGTCTTTTGCAAGGCTTGGCATGTGCTTTCCTTGGCCAGGACAATCCACAATACAAAAACTAGTCGCATAATGTCCCTGGCCCCCTCTTTCTCTGCCCTCCTGGTTGGTTGGCTTTCATAACAGAATGGACTTTTTGTTGTTGTTGTTGCTAACTGAGCGACTGTCTGGATCTCTTCTGCTGGACTCTAAGCTCCTTGGATTTAGTGATGGTTATCTTGATGACCTAGTACCTTGCTTGGCAGCTGGTGCAGAAACGTTTCTGTCATGTTTACTGACTTGAAGTGAGGTGTGGAGGAGCTGAATGCCCTTCCCTCCCTGTGTTACCTCAGGGTGACTTAACACCTTCATTTGCTGGCTTGCAAGAAGTGTTTAATAGGGCCCCTCTACTGGAGCTATCCTTGAGTATCCAAAAGTTATTATTAGTAAATTTGATATGATTCTATTTTATTATGATATCACATCTATTTATTAAATTTGAGGATAAAATCCTCAGAAACTGCTTTTGTCTAAATAAGCAAAAAATAGAGAAAATGGGCTTAAGGAAACACTGTAAGAGTTCAGATTAGCAAGTGTCTTAAGTTCTTCCAGTTTTTCATCAAAAAATATAAGACATCCAGAGTTGAGAGATCTTAAATATACCCTGGGCCAACCTCCTGTTTTATTCAAGGGGGTTTGGAGAGCTAAGTGGTTTGCTTTAGCCTAGGGGTGACTGAGCCATATTTGGAGGAACATAGGCTTATAGGGTCTCAGGCCATTGCACCACATTCTTTGGGTTCATGGTGTATCTATAAAAGGCCAAGGAAATTTGATACAATAGGCTTCACTCTCTCCGGCACTTCCTAGCATGGTCCATTTTAATCACAAGCCAGCTGGTGTGAGGGCACAGAGGTATGTGCCAAGGAAGATGGTATGTGGGAGCATTGGGCTGCCAGGGTCTTGTCAGGTGTGAGAAGAGGAAGTAGTAGGAGGCAGGGATGAAGGAAGAAGGGCCTGGTGGACTTGTGTTTGCACTGCAATTTGCTGCAATGTATATTTATATTTAATGGTGTGTAAGTGCCAGGCAGTTCTGTTTTGGGCTGAAGGCACTGGTACCTGCTGTCAGGTCCCTTGTGAGGATCCTCAAGGGGGCCATGGGCTCTTTTATCCAGGGTCAGCCAGACCTATTTATACCTCCACTTGATGTATAATAAGTTCCCTGTTTAAAAAAGTGAAAGCTACAGAAATGGCAGCTGATCCTAGAGAAGTGGCTATGGAAAGTATTCTCCTTAGGGTAGGTTAGGCAGGGGGAAAAATACCTCAGATGTGAGTACGAGAGACAGGAAGAACTAAGATTCTCTCAGTGAAACTGCATTTACTTCCACCAGGGAAGGTCAGGGGCAAGAGGTGGATGGGAGTAACTTGAAGAGCAATTTCATTTTATTATGGATTTTGAAATTGCCCTTTGGTGTGGATCTCGGAGGGAACCAGTGTCAAATGGCACTCTAGAGTGTGGGGTACAGAGTGATAAATTTTTCTCTGTGGATACCACGTTAGCTTGCTTTTAGGCACAGTCTGCTGCCACTGTGTTTGTAACACATAGTGCGACATGGTGCTGAAGGAAACCAATACATGGTGCTGAAGGAACCAATCTCTCTGTGTATTTGTTGAAAAGAACAGAATTCCCATGCTAAGAGGGGCTCAGCTTGAAGCCCATTCATTGACAAACCTAGTAT